AGTATTACATATTCGCAGTATGTAATTGTTAAGGTGAAGGTTGCTGGTGAAAGTAGAAAATTGAAAATTGATGATTATTTTGGTCGTAACATTCTCAAATTTTAGTTTTGTTGAAGACCCACAATTTCTTAATGAATACCCTATTTATGTAAATGGGTCGGTTACTGTATGAAATGTCGGGTAATGTGGGAATTGTTTGAAATATGATAGAATAAAAATCGTTAAAATCGTGACTTTCTCTCGCTCTTCAAACTTTTCGACTCCAAATTCTTCGAGTAACACGCAAAAAACTAAAATTTGAGGACTTAATATTTCTATCGATTTTAATTTCCAAATATTTCACGGATCATTTGTAGCAGATCTGTGAATAAATTGCAAAAATTTCTGAACCAAGAGGTCTATCATATTTTTGTCGATCCAATGCTCATTGATTTTGATGAATCTTGAATGTGTAGATGGCTCGTTTAATTAATGATACTTAGGGTAGTCTACATCCGTGAAAACGTTTTTGACCTTTAATATCTCTGGCGCTAGTAGAAATTTTGAATTGAAATTTTTACAATTTGTTCACCTTATAGTCAGCATTATGGGTGCAAAATTTCAATTCGCTAGTCCAAATGGCGCCAGAGATATTTGCATACGAAAAAATAGCGCTGTTCTAAAACTGCCCAAAACTGCATAAATTTTACGTTTCAGAATATTTTTAAAACCTTCTAGAATTGTGAATTGTTTATGGAATTTTATGTAGGTGGTAGGAAAATTTTTGGCATCTATGTGGCTTTCATAAATAACTCAAAATTTCCCAATTTTTTTTAAATTCATTTCATTTCAGGTGGATTTGTACGAAAAAGCGTGAATAAAGTTTGTTTTTGTGTTAAATGGAATTTTATAAATCACAATAGCTGAAATTTTTTCATGTTTATTATTTTAGCAGTTATAGGAGACATTACTGATGGTAATGCAAACAGATTTTGGACTACAAATGTTTAATTTCGTGTAATGGAGGTACTTGGGAGAAATTGGCGAAATTTTGACAAATTGGGGGCTGTTATAACTTTTACTCTGAAACTCTACCCAGCTATTTTTTATCAAAATTTAAACTGCATTGTGTAATACAGACATGGGCTCACACAATTTGCTATTTCCTGGCATTTCTAGCCTATCGGCAACTGCTCCATGTCTTCTAACCGGGTAATTTATGTCTGAAACAAAAAAAACATCATTGTTTTACTGTGGGGTTAGTTGAAGGTCTGCTTTTTACACTAGAGAATTGAAATTTTGCACTCATAATGCTGACTATAAGGTGAACAAATTGTAAAAATTTAAATTCAAAATTTCTACTAGCGCCAAAGATATTAAAGGTCAAAAACGTTTTCACGGATGTGGACTACCCTCAGTAATCGTTTTAATAATATTCCTATTTACTAATGTTGAAGTGAATTGCCTTAAACTTAATTTGTTTAATTATATAATTCATTAATTCTAATTATTATATATTAATTTGTTAAATTTTTAATTACGTTTCCAAAACTTGTAATTTAAGTTTTCTAACCATATCCACAATAAATTATTATTACATTTTATATCAAGTCTTCCTGTTCTTCGTAAGAATTTTTTTGAGCAGTACAATTGCTTAAAGGGAATCTACATACATAAATTCATAAATATTTACATACATATCAAAAATACATTTCATCCAATATCATGAAGTCCTCGTTACAAGATAATTGGTACTTTGTAAAGGCTGTCATCGGGAATAGAATCAATAATCCTTGTTTCTAAATAATATGTATGCATCTGCATATGCATAAATCAGCTACAAAGCAATTAAACAGTATCAGTGGCCGTGGAAGCTGTACGGACATTAACATTGTAGGATAGGGGAGGATGGGTTTTATAGATGGTGGGGACTTCGAACAACCATGGCTACATTGTCCCTGTCCTCACCCTACCGCGGCCACTGAATAGTGTAAATATGTAGTTTTGTCCGAATTTGCCAACCTTCATGTTTAACTGTATCATGCTGTATATTTTATCCCGTGAATACGGAAGTTACTTTAATTATTGCTCTAAAATTCTCTAGAACCATCAATCTTGGACGTGAATGTTGGGGTTGTTGGTGAGGATGTTCCATGGTTAGATTACACAGTAAAAATCTACAAACTTTCTTTGAAAATGGCAGACATACCTTACGTGAAGCGATTTTTATTGTTTATCAGTGAAAGCTGATTTTTAAAGGGCACTTATGTAATGGTTAAGTGGTATAAATGCGCAGGCCCTCAACTGGGCGTGGGCAAGCAGGGCAATTGCCCGGGATAGATATAATGGGTTATTTGGGATTATACAAACACAAATTTTGACAGGAAAGTAAGTGAATCCACACAGAATTTGTTGTTCGAGAACGCAAAAGCCCCTAATAAGTTACCAAGTTTTATTTCTGCATTGTGGAGAAATACAATGAAGGGCACAACGATCGCTAATAGCCCCATAGCCATTCCAGTCAAATTCTCTATTTTATGCTGGATATCTGTTTTATACCCTCTGGCCTTTGAACCGAGAATTGTTGCGTCCCAGAGCAGGCATAATATTTTTAATACGTCAATGAAGCCTTGCAAGCAGTTTTCACAGTGTGGAACACTCTGGGGTTAATTTTAGGACCTATTCAAAATTTCGAAATTTAGCAAGCGGACCCACATCGCAATTATAATCGAACCTTCGTAAATGTTTTCAGTATTTGTAAGTTGCGCAATTGTTTTGCGAACTTCGGCACGGATGTCGACGCCGTCGACTACATACTATTTTAGGCGGCGACCCCGCTGGGAAAAATTCTCGTTAAGTCGCCACCGAGTAAAATTTGGCGCCGATTTTAATTCGGGATGAACATTTAGATTTTAGTCTAATTGAAATTACAAAATTCAACCTTTAAAAATATTTTCAGTCCCAAGGTATACCTTGCATTTGACAATCTCTTACTTGTATGTGTGACACGCTCAAAATATGTAGACATTAAAAAAGTTTCTCCAATTTTGACCGACTGGATTTTAAATTGTTATTTTTGAAAATAAGTATTTTGTCGTTACCTTAATTGTGCCTCTACCTTTGAAGAAATTGATAAATACTTTTTTGATCACGACTTTTCGCCTAAATAATTGTATCCGAAATACCTTTCAATTTTTTAAAACCTTGGAACTTGAAACTTTGGAATTATTTTCAATCTTTAAAATTTTGTGGTTAAAGTTTTTTTAATTAGAGAGTTAGTGCCATAATATTTTCAGCTTTACGACAAAGATGGAAGTGAAATTTTATCTAACGCTTTGTCACGGATTTATGCAAGAAAAAATTATATATATTAAAAGTAGTGCAGACTCCTGAAAATCAGAGACGTTATAATTTTCACTTTCCCTCTGTATTGGCAACTAGCTATAGGTCCTATTATAATATGAAATGACGGTAGTTTAGAAGGACGAAAATTCGCGTGCAGATAGGGGCGCCTGCAAAGTTTGCCCACCCTTGGATATGGGCCAGTTTAGGCACTGCCTGACTGACCTTCAATTCGTCGGTTTCTAGTCGGTTTGCAGTCTCTCTTTGTTAATAACCCTCTCAGGAAAGCGTCTTCACCACCACCTCCGGTTCTTAGGTATGATGCTTCTTCATTTTTGAAATAAAATTTTTGAAAAAATTAGGAATACAAGCAGAATGGTTTGTAGACAACATATGCAAATTTCGACGAATTCGGTCAACCCATGCAAATTTTAGGGCCATATTTAAGTGGTATTTTTTCGCCCGTTCAGCCTCTGTATGACGTGAAATTGGAAAATTTTCCACCCGGAGGTACCCGAGGGGGTGACTCATACCGATTTTGTAAAGTCATTCAACCGAGCTGAAATTTGGTATAGAGGCTGCTAATGGCTCATAATGGAAGAATATGAAGTGAAATTGGTAAAATTTTCACATCCGGGACCCGTTGGGTGACCCATACCGATTTTCATAACCTGTCTCAAAAAGCTGAAATTCGGAACGGTGATATTTCATCTCTTCCCATGAAATTATATGAAGTCAAAGATGAACAAAAAATAACCAGATGGGCAATAAGGAAGGGGTACCCATACCGATTTCTAATAATTTATATACTCAGCTAAATTTAGCGTGGAGTCGCAAAATAACTTACTTGTTAGCATTAGAATTTAAGAAGGTTAAATTTCGAAATTTTTATATGAACAGCCTCCACTGTTCATGGTATTTGGTGCCAAGTAATACTTGACGGTAGTTAATGTAAGAATTAGTGAAAAATAGTATAACATTCTGACAAACATGGGTTTACTAATCCATCGTGGCTCGGGCTAACTAAGCAAAGCTGTACTAATAGGTTTTGAACACTATGTTCCTCTGGTTACTTCATAACTCACAATGAAAACCCGCAATATGTCTCAATACGTTCAATCCAAATGTCAGATCATCCGTTCTCCAGGTGTGACTTGACCTTACTGTCAATGCAATTTGCGACATTGCAAAATTTGTCCATTAAGGAAAGAGGTGAGTAATTTTTTACCGCACTGATTTTTAGTGCTACTTCAACACTGAAGTTGATCACATAAGTGGAACTGAGCTAATATTTACCTACGGGCTCTGAAGTAAGTTGGAGGGACAATTGTATAATCGATAATTGTATGTACATTGCTTGAGACAGATATGATGCCTTGAATTGCGTCAAAATCAATTAATTATTTAATTACATCCTTTTAACAACTATTGTGGACACCTGTGATGTCGATCATAGATAACTTGTTTATTATGCAAAAACTAAATAATGTATTGGTTTCAATTACATATTTATGTGCATAAGTAGGATTTACTAATTTATATGCACATACACCTAGCCAAATTGTGTACTTGAAAATTAAATCACAAATTATGTACAAATTAGCAATTGTTTGGTTCAATTATAAATTAATTATTGGCTTAAGCTACATATCGCCGTACTAATTCTAAAAAGACCGAAGTGCAGTCGATATTTTATTTTAAAAAGACCTAACTGCACAAAAAAATTATAAAAAGACCAAAGTGCAATCACAAAATTATAAAGCGTTAATTACTTATTCAAAATCCCACTATAAGCTGAAATGCCAATATGTTGAACCGACGAGCTTAGTAGTGACCCAAAATATGAAGTTTAAAACCCACACCTTCCGGGGGTGTGGTTCTCGGCGGCTATATTCAACTAAATGGAACATGGTGTGGATCAATGACCAATTCTTCATGCGCATCTATAAATCTATTATGCACAGCTCAATTAAACAGTATTTTTGAAAGACAACTAAATCTACCCGGTTCAGACTCTGACTCGTTATTTCAGAAAACTTGTCTCAAGAAAAAGTCAGATAGACTCCCAGAACTTTTATTGACCACGCTCAAATTAATCAATATCACAAAGACTCTAATTTCTGACAATGTCACCATTTTACAATTATCCAAAACGGTATCGAGTTTTTTCTAGTCTTCTAGTTTTCTAGCTTTCTAGCTTTCTAGTCTATCATATTTTACATATAACGCCATAGAAATGTCTGTCAATTATTTTATAATTAAAATTATCTATGTGTACGCCAAGTATCAATGGCCGCATAAGCTGTGGGGACATCGGAGGACCTTGTAGAATAGGGGAGGAAGGCTTTACCTAAATAACATGGGGAGATGGCCAGGACTTCGAATAACTCTGGGGACATGTCCCTCTGCTCTCACGCTACCGTGGCCACTGAGAAATGCTACCAATTCCAAACTTTCAAATTTTACTATATCATGCTAAATATTTTATTCCAGAGGGTAACGTTAATTGCTTTAATTATTGCTCGTTTTGCTCGTCGCTGTTGTTTTAATTGCATTAAAACCTCGAAAACTACCAATTTGGCACGTTACACTGTAAATATGTATGTAGGTTGTTCCATAGTTAGATCACGCATAGTAAAAATCGACAAACTTTCCTGGAAAATGATATTCTTTGTAAGGAATATCATTTACTTAAACGTAAACCGAGTTTTATGGTTCACCAGTCAGTTTTGAAGGGCGCTTATATAATAGTTAAGTGCCATTGGGTACATGCAATAGCTAACGATCTATTTAAAATTCTAGACCTATAATTGTGCACCTTTTTACGACGGGTTAATTACTTAATAGAATCTTCGTTAATTACTGCGTTCGATCTTTTTATATTTTGACTGTCAATTTGCTTATACGTGTCTTAAGCGATAGGGTATGGCCATACGTGCATGCATGGGCGAATTACATTGTTCAATTAAACTAATCTGATCTCCGTTCTTGAAAAGGTTTGGATTTTCAGGGCTCTTGCAGCTGCAAAAAGTGGAGCATCTACTTACATGGAGAATACAACGTTCCTTTGAAATTACAGGTTTTGTGCATACCAATAAATTTACCATTTATTTACCGTGGTCCAATTATTTTTTGTCATGATTTTGTAAAAATAAAGTAATTGGACCTTTAGTTAATTTGTTCACAAATCCTGTAATTTCGAATGACCATTGTATTCATCATGTACATATGTAGATTCTCGACTTTTTGCAGCTGGAACGGCCCTGAAAATCCAAACCATTGGAAAAACGTGGATCAGATTACTATGACTAATTGCAATTTGCCCATCTATGCCTATTCCTATAAAAATAATAATTGGCAGTTGAAGGTTTAGAGTATGTAAAAGAATGAAAGCTTCCATCAACGTTGTTGGAACTGCCATATTAATATCTTCTGGGAACAGACATGTACTACGTCATCAAAAAAAGCTAAATTGCAGACCCCTCTTCTACTATATCCTTCTCATCTTTAGATATATCTAAAGCTTAAGATGTAAAGGATAAAGGTCCATTAAGTTTTTGTGCTCGTCCATCTTTTTAATGACGTCGAACATGGACGTTCCTTTTGCAAATGTTGGACCCATGCGTGCATAGATACATATGTAAATTTTGCATATTTATATGAAACCTTTTATTAGTAAATTGGTTATACATAGTGAACTTTATTAACAGAACATTTTTCCATGTTACATGAGCTGTAGTAAAATCTATGTATCTATTTATTTGTAGAAAAAGACACTTCGAGACGAGTTTAGTATCCAAACCAGGTGGTTCAACGCATGCCAGGCATGACACAATTTTTTTAAATTCTTGTTCCAAGCAAACGTAGACTCTTACTGAGTATTTTACTGAGTACTCAGTATTTTTCAGAGTTATTGAATATCATTTACTTCTAAAACTTTTCACAAGTTTTTGAGACTACACAAGTAAACCAGTTTTTACAGCTTCTAGAAAAGATCTGCTGTGCCTTACAAAATGTTGCAAGATCACCTCTCCATCATTCAGTGGTCTCTAAATTGCATGTCGTATCTGCACTGCTTTCCTCTCGTGTGGAATAATTCGGCCAGATGTGTAAAAATTATGACAGGACGAAGAAGTCTCATCACCATAAAAATCGTGGAAATCTTACAACTCTCTTATTTTGCCGTTATGTCAGTCATAATATTTAATCAATATCAGGTTAATTGTCTGTCTCTCCTCCTCCCTAGCATTGTTATGTGGTTAAACACTATACTAGTATACGCATGGGGGATGGGGATTGGTTTAGCGAGAAATGCAGGCCGATTGTTAAACCAGACAATGCGATTGGAGAAATATCTGAACATTATTTTGATGGATGTGGATAATTTGGCGGCGTCTTATGTTGGAGGCAAGCGGAAACTGAGGTAAGTTTGCAATGTTAAATTTCTCGAAGATATATAAGTAAAAGGGATACACCCTTAAAAGAAAAGTTAAGTTGTAAGAAATAAATGCAGCTTGCAGTCTATGTTAAATACATACATAAACTATACTAAATTCAGAGTCAGCTTGTTAAATACTTCAAAGACTAATTTAAATATACTTAGTCGAGCCGAGATTATCAGACAGATTATGTTCGTACTTTAATGTTTGAACTTCTAACTTTGAAGGGTAACATTATTTTAGGAGTATATTAAATTATTACCTCACCTCTTAGGATTAGTAATTTGCATTCTGGAAATTAAATGTGGTGTACTAATTTGCGTGCGTTAACTATTTTTCATCTGTCTCAAAGTCAGAGGAATGCAGTCGTGCGAAAAGTCTTGATATTTATGAACATCATGTGTCCTGGCATTGGGGTTATTAGGATGAGGCGACTGTTCGCGGACAGTTGCAATCCGCCATATCTTGGATTTTTGCTAGGATATTGTTCCAGCTGTGGTGAACAACTAATTAGTGGAGAGACACTAAGGTTCAAATTGATGAAGTCGCTTCTCGTCGTCCTGGATGGCTATCACTGTTCTGTATTTGCGTTCAAGGCTTTCTTTCTTATCTTCAATGTCACTATTGTGTCAGTGGGATGCATACTGGACTATCTTGATATATTGAAGCGGTAAGGCGACATATTATAAGTTTAATAAATTTCCAATTACATAACACACTGACATAGTTCCCTCTTTTAACCATTAGTAACCTCTTATAACCATTAGTAACCAGTTAATTCTTTTATTATACACAAAAATAATTTCACAAACAGAATTACAATTATCACACTGATTGCATACTGTAATTGTATATTGACTTAACAGGATTTCAGGCGTCGCGTCAAATGTTGGACTTACTACGCGCATCGGACTTTATCGCTGCCTCCAAGTACTTGAGAAGCAACTGAACAACACCTTATCAACCCGTGTCATCCCTACAGTCATGATTATTGCGCCCATAATACAAATTTTTTGTAGCGTTGTCCTCATCAAGTATTCAAGCTTCCTCCCCTCAAAGGGATTTGTTACCTATCCGTTCACCACTTGCGTTTGTTTCACGTCCTGCATGGTATTTGAAACTTTCGCGGCGCAACTAGGAGTCCAATCGGTGAAACAGTATCACAGCTGGTTGACGGAGAAAAGACTTACGTAGCTTAATCGAAGAATTATTCGATCCCTGCAACCGATCAGAGTCAAGGTTGCAAGCAATTTTATCGATAGAGGGACCGCTCTTGTTACGCAAGATTTCTGCATTAATCAAACTGTATCAATGCTGCTCGTGTAGGTTAAAGCAGCGCATTTAGTTTAATTACGGAAGCTAGATTTTCTTGGACATGGTGTGATCAAATTTTATGATGGCGACGAATAAAAAGTCTGCTTGCGTATCTTTAAAATTAGGATGTTGAAGACGACACTCGTTATATTTATTTATTTATAAGCATAAATATATCCACACAGTTTCAGCATATTTATACAAGTTGTAGGTTTATTCTTGTTGACACAAATGTATCCCCTTCAGGGCGGTTTTATCAATCTTGCCCGCCTTTCCACGAGGAATTTCGTCGAGGATGATAAGTCCTCCACGGAGATATTTATAAGTGGCAAGTTTTCCTTACAAACAGCCAAATTTCGTTATGTTTTTCATGAACAATCTATTTGTATGCGAATACTAATTACCATGCGCCATCTCCTTTATTTTGGTGGCCAAGGCATCCTTTTCTTGCACAGTATACTTAGCAAACTCATGTCGTAAGACAACAAAGGCCCTGGGTACTTCTCCCCCTCCGTCGCTTGCTGGCACACTGACGACGCACACCTGCGCCACAGCGGGATGGGAGGCAACAATTTGTTCAATTTCGGACGGAGAAATCTGTACAAATTATCATTAAGGTACTACCCCTGAGTACCTATTCTTTGACACAAATTGGCAGGAAAGATGGAACGTGCACAGGGGTTGACTACTTTATCACAAATCGAAATTTTATACTTGATCTGAAGTCTAAAATTTCTCAGCTGTAGGGTCAAGTTCACAATTTCAAATTAATTTGTTCTAAAATAGTCTCCGTGCTACATTTTGAGTCAATTTTGCTTGCAGTGAATATCTGAGCAGTACAGTACTTACAATGCGATGACGCCAGCGGTCTCGCTCCGATTTTGATGAAACCACGATAATTATGTAGCCTTAGATAAATAATTAGACACGTGTTTCAGGATTTTTCATAATGCTCAGCTTAAACGAAATTATGACGAAATCCGTGAGCGAGAATTCTAATTTTCACCGTGACATTTTTCTGGCAAGGGAGAAAAATACAGATTCTCCATTATGGAGCCCATCATAATTTCGTTTAAGCTTGAAATGCGTTGGCATGAAGTGTTTTTTTCCGATTTTATGTTGCTTGTACAAATTTTGAAATTTTGAAAATTTTTGAAGATTTCTGAAATTTTAGAAAATTTTTGAAAATGTATGAAATTTTGAAAAATGCAATAAACCAAATTCGTAGAAAATCACTTCGTGCCCACCAATTTTAAGTTTAAACGAATTTATGATGGACTCCGTAATGGAGAATCTGTAATTATCTCCCTTGCCAGAAAAATGTCACGGTGAAAATGGGAATTCTCGCTCACGGATTTCGTCATAATTTCGTTTAAGCTGAGCATTATGAAAAATCCTGAAACACGTGTCTAATTATTTATCTAAGGCTACATAATTATCGTCGTTTCGTCAAAATCTGAGCGAGACCGCTGGCGTCATCGCATTGTTAGTATTTGCCAAATACACATAAATATGTACGTATTTATATATTTTCAACTAGAAAACTCACATGATTTGACTGATACTTGAAAGTTTCCTTCGCCCTGTCTACCAAACAGAGAAATCCCGTCTGGTCAAAATACCCGATATCTCCAGTGTTGAGAACACCATCTTTTATTGTACTGCGGATATATAAAGAGAACTTTGTGAACTAAGCAAACTTGTAATTTTTAATGGTATTATTTCTAGTGAACCTTTTCGTTGCCACGTCATTTTTGAAGTATCCAGAAATCATCCAATCGGTCTTGACCCAGACTTCGCCAACGATCCCATTTTCTTCCACTATATTTCCCGTCTGTCCGTCCCGAATTGTGATTTCCACCCCTGGAAATGCCTTGCCTACACTGCCTGTAAGATTTTCAAATCCCGCATAGTTTTTAATCGGACCAGTGCCCCAGATATCCATCGAAGTTGAAATGGGGGCGCATTCGGTCATTCCGTAAAACTAAAAGAGGAGTAAAATATTAGCATTTGGATACTGTTTTGCACTCTTAAAAATAATGTCACTCTTATGGAAAGCAAATATTTACCCTCCCAATGTTATACTTCGTAGATCGTGATAACCCCAAAATATGTAACATTTCCTTGATTAAGAGTAGTATTTACTTTGAATTTTTTACAGCTTACGTGAATTAAATTGAGGTGCATTTACTTTTCAAGAAGGAAAACATTATTTTTAAGAGTATGGAAATAATTTAAATAGCGGAACCATTATGACTTCTTTTAAGGAGGGAAACTTTTCCTTCATCTCAGCCTCAAACGATTGCCCAGTTGAAAGTCCGGTCGTAATAACATATTTGATCGAAGACGTATCAAACTTGACTAAATCTGGTTCATTAGCCATCTTGAGGAAAATATTGGTGACAGTAAAAATTCCCTGTGGCTGTGGTGATATGCAGACAAATTTGAACAATTAGTTACATAGAAACAATCTAGCCCGAGTAAAAATTTGAATAGATTTCTTTGCAGAATTTTCCACAGAAAAACGTAGAATTATGCATGTACAACTACAGTTCTGCAGGATTGATAATTTATCAACATTTATAAACAAATATGCGGAACACAATACGCATCTCTTGACTATTACTGCAGAATTAGATACAGGGATTTCTACTCGGGGCAATTAGTGACAAATTACTTAATTTGCATACATTCCACATCTCAATTGTTCTGAGTATGGACGCATTATTGAAAACGGATAAGACCACGAGGCGCTGCCCATTCACGAGTTGTGCCAAACTTAAGGCACATCCACCTCCATGAGTTATTCGTGCTATGACTAGTGCAGTTTTATCGGGTTGGTCAGCCATTGGAAACCGCTCAAGTGCTCTGAAATGAGCAATTAAGGTTTTATGCGTATAAACGCCACCCTTGGATTTTCCAGTGGTTCCGCTCGTCGGAAGGATTAGGGCGATATCGTCCCCATCATAATTTTTATTAAGGGCAATTTTCATCTCATTTTCCATGCCTTTAACTAAGAAAATTATAAAATGTTAAGCCATTAATTTGACCTAAATCCATCATTCTTTAGATACATACACTAGGTACAATAATTAAGTATACGGTGGCCCATGCCTGAATTTTAGTTTACGTTACTTACACTTTCGTCTCTGCAAAACAAATTTAGCAGATGAAATTCATAGGAAATTCATCGAGAAACTGGAATATGATGACCATTTCTCAAAATCTCAAAAGGAGGTCAAATGATCATGAGGGGAAGTTCGAAATTTGTGAATTTCAGCCCAAAAAAGTATTAATTCGGTTCATGATTTTTGACCCCAGAGTTACATACATTTGCCCACTTTTTCCAGCAATTACATTTGTCACGTATGATATGGGAACTATTTCGAGTTTAGTTAAAAACAAATAATTGTCGAGTAATTTAAATTCAGGCATGTACCACCATCTACTCACTTTTTGTAGATACTGTATCTTCTAAATTTATGTAGAACCTTCAAAACCACTACAAAGGGACCCCAGACCAAGACAACCCTCAGTTTTGACGGCCCCAGTCGAAATAATTGTGACACAGTTGGACGCCAACAATTTCCCGGCACGATTCCATTTCTCAACGTCCCCTCCATTACACAAGACCCACTTGCAGTCAGATTCGGCCAATTTCTCCATAAATGTTTCTACGTTATATTTGCATATAATTTTTAGATGGGATACTCCACTGAATTTTTGTATATCCAAATAGGTTAATAAATATATGTATACCCTCCGTTTCATCTGGATAAATTGACCTGACTGCTCCCCCAGCTCGCCAGACACCGAGGAAGAAAATGTGTAAAAGGTGGACATCTTCGGTGGCAGAGTAAATGACAATATCGCCCTTTTTAAAGCCCATCAACACTAGATTTAACGTCACATTTTTCGACAAGTTTAATACTTCCTGATAAGTACTGGACGCATTTGTGGATCCGTCCGTCTAAAAAATAAAAGAAAATCTTGCCACATATTTAGAGAACTCGTCTAAAAAGAATAGGGGTATTCACTACGAGTTCATAACCTGAGCAAATAGAAGTTGTTCACAATGTCTTAAAAATTTGAATTGCAAATTAATGTAGTAACTGGCCCATCTTCAAGCCCAATATTTAGTTTGCAATTTTTCCTCAAAATTGCACAAGTTGGTTTGCAAACTCCCAATGAATAGATACCACCAATATATGTCTTACGTACAATCCAAATTCCGGAATTCCCTTTCTCCAGGTGAGACTTGACCTTACTCTCAATAAAATCTGCGACATTGCAAAATTGGTCCATCGAAGAAGCAGGTGAATAATTTGAGACCACAGTAATTTGTAGCGATGCTTTAACAGTGAACCGAGTAACAAAAGTGGGACTGAGCTAATACTTGGGTGCTCTTAAGTACATTGGTGGGATGAACAATTGTATAATTGTACATTGATTGAGAGAGATATGATGTCATGAATTGCGTCAAAATCAATTAATTAATACATCACTTTTAACACCACTTATGTGCAAGTGTGATGATATAATTATATAACTTATTCATTCTGCAAACTAAATTAGTGGGTTTAATTAAACAAGTATTAACAATTTACACACACACCTGGCCAAATTATATAAGTACTTGAAAATTAAATCACAAGTAACATCAATGGTTTAGTTTCACTGCAAATTACTTATTACGTTAAGCTATGTATGCTGGTGGGCTAATTTCGTGGAATAAAATTAGTGTTACATAAAAAGATGGCAAATTCCTTTATGTGAATTAACAATTGAAATTTCACTAATTCACTCGTATCTTACGTATGTTTGCTTCAACTGCACAATAAATACGCATGTTTGTTAAATTTTTAACAGAAACCTCAAAATATCCAACTAATTTTAGAAGTTTAGTACATATTTGTATATTCTATATAACCTTAGTTTTTTTATGTATGTATGTATATCCCCCGTCAGAGTGTACTTACATATGGACAAAAGTAAGTCTCAAACAGCTCAATGACCAGTCGTTTCGTTACAGCTTGGTGATGCTGCTTTGAATTGTATCATAACGAGAACATAGGTCAAGAAAATAGTTGCGGTCTGCAAAACATAGTGTGCATGTACATATATAAATACGTACATATATGTCAATATTTGCATAAAGAAATCGAATCAATATATTTGCATACCGTTCCCAAAAACCCGTACGAAACAAGGAAAAACTTTCCCCCAGTCAAGCCATCCTGTCCTGGACTATTTTTCATAAATTCATTCACATACACCAAAGAATTTCCTGTCGATGATGTCCCATGAAATTTGACATTCCCAACTTCTTTCATGATAATATGTCGCTGAATGTGCGTTGCCTACATAGCAAATAAATTATCCTAAATTAATTTCATTACGTTACTCTAATTTTAGGGGACATTCATAAATATGTTACGTCATCAAAAAAATGCCATTCTTTTTACCACTCACGCAGCCTTCCTCTACCCAACTCATTTTAAGCTTGACCTGACTATGATAAGCGACCAAAAACTACCCATCCACCATTTTGATGACGTTTCATATGGACATTCCCTTAGAAATTTTAACAACCTTCAAATGAGCTTCCGCCGCGAATCCGAGTATCGCGAAGTAAAAACTATAGTACTCGATCAGTTGCAGTTTAAAGGCCAACCGTACGTTATTCATGGCTTCGACAAATGTTGCCGCGCCGTAGGAAACAATGAGAAGAAAGGTGACCAGAAGATAACTGTTGTTAAGCGCGTTTATCTTGCCAATAATTCCCTTCATTGTTCCAAAACGATCTAGCATGGTCTAAATACGTAACAAAGGAGTCAAACTTTAGGAAAAACCCTCTAAAATTTTATAATTTAACAGCTGTAATTATGTATAAATCGTAGCTTTTTCATGCTACACCCGGATTGTGGATAGAATTATATCGTAAAATCAAACCAGTAATTAGGAATCACATGGCACCAATCTTTGTCTTGAAATGCCCCTCAAAGTTCCCACATTGTCCTCCGTGAAGGAGGAAATTAGCGCGAGAAAATTTACCCTTTGACGCCAACATTTTTCTTGAAAGAATCTATTCAAGTGAAACATGCTTAATTCATATGATTCCTAATTTTTGGCTTGATTTTTTCATATAACTCGCCACAATATCCTGGTCCAGCCTGAAAAATATTTTTAGTGTAACCTGCACTGAACCCTCGTTAGAAAGTTTTATTTGATGCATCACCTCCCACGCTGCAACTGCAGAAATCAGGACAAACACTTGGCCCAAAATTGACAGGAAATACCAATTAAAGTCGATTATAAATGCAATTCCAACAATCACTTTAGTTCCCCAACATGTTTCTGAAAACCAGTAAATTGTTGAGTTATTGGTTCCAAACGTTTTTGCAAGTTTCTCCATGAAATTATCCAAAACTGGGACTGGGTTCAGATTCTCGTCAAAAAAGGTAAATTGTAGGTAGTCCAAAATTGTGATGATTGGAACAAGAAGAGACAATACAATGGCAAGTATTCTGGCCTGTAAAGATTAGTGGGAAGATTATTTTTACCATGACCAAAATATTTACTTATACAGAGATTGCGAATTTACAGGATTATACTAAAATTTTTAGACTAACAGAAAGATTACAATTTTTTACTTATTTAGTGGAGCATACGGTTTTCATGTGAATCCACGTAGGTATGTAGGTCCGACGGATTTTTTACGTGAAAATAGTAAAAAGGCGAAACAGAAATTGGATTGGTTCAAAGAAGTCTTTCGTTATGAAATTCAAGAATTTCCGGTTTTGTTTCCATCTGTCCTGAATACTAGGCTTAAACAGTAAATCTTCAAGCCTAAAGTGAGACACAATACAAATTTCAGGTAAAATTTGCATAAATAGAACCTGAACATCTACCCTAATTTAAGAAGAATTTCGTCGAAAATTTAGTTTACGCCTGTTCACTCGCAATCTCACTAATTTTACGAACTTCCAATCTCAATATCTTCCTGGGTAGCTGCAACAACTCTTTTACTTCATTTTTCTTAAACCAAACCGTGTTAGCCACCAGAAACGTGTACGATCCCCAAAAAAAGAAATTAGCCAATTCGAATATCATTTCCGGATGAATTCCTATATTATCCGTAAATTGGCGACGGGTCGTCATAACGCTGAAGAAACAAAGTACCAAGTAGTGGGTAAAAACTACCAATTTTTGAACTTTGTTAGCACTCAGTTTTATTTTGTTATCAGGGTGAAAACTTATCCAAAACGGGGAAAGACCAAGAATGAACATAAAATTGAATAGTGTTTTAAAATAGTGTGGAAAATTGTAACAAATTGTTTGATCAATGGGTGTTTCGAATTTTGTCAAGTTTTGACTTCCAGGGGCGTCCTTCTTAAAAACTGTGTCACGCCCGTCACTATTTTTGACCGGGAGGACTGCCATTTTAACTTTAGGAGGACTCATGTCCTCATTCGTTTATGAACTAATCCTACGAACGAAATGGTATGTATGGTTATGTGATTGGCACAAAATCGATTGGAGGGAACCGAAATAAATATTCACGCCGATAACGAAATAACGTAGTAACAAAATTTTCAAGTGGCCGCATAGTATCAATTTGGCATAATGTCTCACATACAAGGTAACCTTCATGACTGCCCTTCTTAGATATAGGGTTCCTACTTTCACTAAAATGGCCTAAATACATATTTACAGTATGTATACCTTATGAATTCTAAATCACCAAGTTGTCATGATTTTTATGGTCAGGGAATAGTTAGCCAGCAAGAGACAATCAACCAACGGATAGTTCGGTGACCTTTTCCCGCGGATTTAGAAGGGCTCCTCAGCCAGGTCACCCGGCCCAAAGAGTTTTGCTCGCCGCAAGTGTCGTCAAAACGTGACCGAAATTAGTTTTATTTATTATAGGTATTCCACATTAGTTCTATTTAGTTGAAACTGCTGGGTGCGAAAACAGGGAAACTATGCTAACTTAAAAAAACCGTGAGGGAGGGTTTACATCGACATTATTTTTGCCCCAATTCTTCAGGATTTTTGTTTACCCCGATCCCGGAAGATTGCTAGAAACCGAAGTCAGGAAATTCCGTCACTTTTATTCTATAATATAGGTAACCTTATGATGAGCCAAGCTAAGTCTGGAATTTGTATGGTTTATTTAGGATTAATGTGGAATTTTACTGTATACTTTTCCCAAGAAAACTGCGTTTCTAGGTCGTATTTTGCGATCTTTCGATTATTGATAGGAACCCCGGCTCGTGAAGCACCTCGGAAGTTCTCTTATTGCTATTCACTTAAAAATGTTTACTTACTTATTTCCCTTTGTGTATGTATAGACGAGTCGTGTACACAATAAATACGTATGCAAAATATATCCTCGCTCGTAGTGCAAGTCAATTAGGTTTATTAAGCTAATATTAAATTGCGATTTTAAAGCCATCAAATAATTGAATTACATACAGTCAGGAGCAAATCTTTAGAGCCACCCCTATTTTCGTCATAAGTTTTGATCGCGTCATCATAGCATTACCAAATTCGGCAACAATGTGTGCACCACTATCCTACACAAGTGACAAGAGCCACGAAGGCGAAATACACCGCATTCAAGTTTTTTCTTACTAAATGTAAAAAATAGTGGGTGCAAAACTTTAGAGCCACCCGGAAATTTGGCTATTAAATACATTTGTTCAGTTTGTGACCAATTAGAACACGTAGTTTTGATATCTAGAACTCCGATAGACTTCCGTTCTTCGAAGTTAATCCACAGATTCAACTCAGCATAAAGTCGGCAAATTTTTTTCTCCTGTTTCGCTATAAATTAAAAAAATTCTTGTTTGAAACTGTTATCAGCGTCGGTTCAGCTTAAACTTTGATTATATTTTCTTAGTAATACCCTACAATGTATTTTGATATAATTGAGCTCAGCCGACAATTTGAGCCTGCCCCATAGATGGGTCTTATTGTCAGAAACTTTTTTTCCTTGCTCTTAGATAAAGAATATTGGCATACATTCTTGCAAAACGAGTTCACTTCGCCCATTCGGGCTTGATTCTTCACAGTCTGATCTTGGCATAATTCGTGACCACCTTCTGGATCCACTGGACCACGAGAAAGCTTCACCTGCCCTGTAGTATTTATCGTTTGCGACACTCAAATTGTTGCATAATCATCCACCGCATTGTTTTACGAGAAAGCAATTGGATCTCACCAAAATCGTGATAAAATGGAAGAAGACTGTCGAAGACATCCATTCAGAGTTATTTCATATTTTTGTAAAGTACTGGGTGGACGAAACCCTATACCCATTAGCGCACGCCAAATAGTTGATTCATCCATATTAGTTAATAGCGGTTTGTTTCCATTATTTCGTTAATTCGAGGGAAGGGGTTGGTTCTAAGACTTCTCTAGGAATCCCCCTAGAGTGAGCAAGTTGAAATTTGCACGCGCGAGACGATCTTGTTGATTGCTGCTAGTCAAATTTAATAATTATCCGCGTGGTTCAAGCTTAGACCTCATCCATCCCCAACTGTTTTACCAGTATCTCGAATCAATGTCAACGAATTTTGCCTAAACTAACAATTCTGGCCTATTTGCTACTAAATATGGTGTTAGAGAGCGCTAGATAACTTCAAACCCGATATTCCGATAGCATCATATTGAAATGGGCATAATTACCTTCCAATGTT